TAGTTCCAACTCCCCTGCCATGGACAGGGACATCTCCCACTAGATCAGGTTGCTCAATGCTCCATCCAGCCTGGCCTTAAAAACTTCCAGGGATGGAGCATCCACAGCCTCCCTGGGCGACGTGTTCCAGTGCCTCACCACCCTCAGAGTGAAGAACTTCTTCCTTATATCTAGTCTAAACCTACACTCCTCCAGCTTCACAATATGTTCTTCTCTGAATTGTTAGTAACATGAGAACCAACTCTCACTTCATTCAGAAGACACTGGATCTTAAATCACTACTACTCTACATTGAAGGCAAATGAAAATGCATTCCTCTCTAACCACACCCAAGTCATTTAAGGGAGCAATTTAATTGCTCAAATGCAGGCACCTTAGAGACGTGTACGATGTCCTAGTCAAGGTAAGTCCCAGTCTTAGGGACTTCCTGGAGCCTTTTACACTCAGAATGACCCAATGGACATGGAGCTGAATCCTAGGCCTACTTTAGTGCCTCTTAATTCCAAACCACAATTATTCCAATAAACCAGGTATTTGGTAAACCTATGTCAGTTATTCTGGTTTAAATACAACAATTTCACAGTGGCTAAATTCAAAGAGACTTCTTTTTTTTTCTTCTTCCTTAAAAAGCTGGCTCACTGGAAGAAGCAGAAATAAAATGCTCATCCAAAGAGAGACATTTTTATTTTTGTCTTATCACTGGAAACATGCGGTGCCAAATTCAGCTCCCAGTTACACAACTGGGGACTGCAGTAACTTCTTGCATCCACCAAGCCAGAGGGTCAGACCTGCAGAACAGCAAGCAGTGAGCCTGTAATTCCAAACACTCCCACTGAGGATACCAGATGTCTTCCCCGGTCAGCAAAACTCAGTTTGCACGACCTGACCCTGCTCCTGCCCTGTTTCCCAGGCTTGGGTTAGAACCACATCACAACCTTTCTGTTTTAAGCACTGGAGCGAACAAAGAGGCATCTATCCTTGGCAAGCAACACTTCTTGTGTCCCCTGCACACAGCAGCACCTGAAGTTTTACAAAAAGCCGACCAAAAACTTTTCCACTTCAGATGAAGGCGTTACCCACCACTCAAATCCCTGCAGGAGCTTTGTGCAGCTATAAATGAAGGCACTGCCTGTCTCCTGTGAAGGACCAATCCCCTGATTTTCACTGGCATACCCATATCTTTGAGAAATGCACAGGTCACAGCTCAGAGAGGCCCTAGGGAACAGCTGCAACACCCTCCCAGCGATTCTCTGGGAACAGATTTTACCAGACAACGCTGCCCAGTGCAGGGAAGCGATGGTGACACAAGCCCTTCACAATATCCTTCAAATATGATTCTTTTACCATGTGTCTCAGCAGAGAAGATGCACGTTCAGACTTCTTCTCGGAAGGATACGGTTAAGTGTTAAGAAGCCAATTGTTTTGACCTCAAAAATTCTTGGCATGTTCTCTATGTTTTCTTTTTTCTTCTCACAACACAACAGAAGCAAACTGCTGCAGAGGGAAGACCATTTATTTCCATGAAGAAAAGGGAAGAACATTTAGATGAATAAAACGTTGCGTAAGACAAATTATATGGGTCCAAGATGTTCACGCTTCGAGGCAGAGTCCAACCACTCAGCAGCACACGTCAAAAAAATCTCCTGAGGATCATTCCCAAACTCCAGTTGCCACTTTGCCCAAAGGACCTCGACTATCTACATGCCGCAACCTCTAAACACCAACTGGCAATGAATGTTGCTGTTTGTCCTTGTGCTTCCTTATGAAACTGCTGTAAAGTAACTCCTACCGTAACCGTACAGAGAGCATGCATACATCAGGTTTGTCACCTCCTACTCTCTGAGGGCAATCGTACCTGCTGTACATTTTCCAATCATGCAGAACACTCACTTCGACCCTTCCAGAAGCCCCGTTGCAGCAACTCAGGATACGCACACAAACATGTTTACCTGCTAGGGATTTATCACTGTTTGAACAATCAACCCCCAAATCCAGTTCCTTTGGTTTAGCCTTATTATAAAACAACACCTAAAACATATGCTCCAAACAAACATGCAATGTGCTATTCTACCTCAACAAACTATCTGAAGCTTGCATTTTGAAACTGAGCAGAAATGTATCTCTCCTAAATTTTATTTTTAGAGCCTGGAATGGGCAGTGACTACTGCACAGGACTCATCAGTACCTCAGTTTGCAGTTTGGCCCATCCTGGTTAAAAGCACACCAAAAATATCTGGGTTGGGTTGTTCATTTTCACCCTAACCGCTCAGACACCTCAGCACATTCTTTCTTAATTAGCAACACTTCAGTGTAATTACACACTGTACTGAAAAGATCCAACGGGTCTTTTTTTTTTTTCTCCTTTCTTCTGAGACACTTCGTCATTTTGGTTAAGGAAAATACAATTGAAGACTTCATGGAATAACATTTTAAACTACACAACATTTTAAATTAAACAACAGATTAGAACAGAACCAATACAGAACTCTAAGGTTTTAAGGCTTTTGCTTCATCTGAACTTCACACGTGTCATCTCTACTACTTTCTTCCTCTTAGCTTATTGCCCAAGGTCCAATTGTGAAATACTGTGACACAATAACTGGATGTCCTAATGTCCCTGAGCAGCTTTCCTAAATGTTAGGTGGGACTTCTGGCCTGTCTGCTTTATTAGGTCTCACAGATTCTTGGGTTCCCTCTGATCATTTATTTTACACCATTTACACTATGGATATTGGTTTTGAGATACAATCTAGTGTAGGTCTAGCCCAGCGTTATTTTACTTTGCAAATTGCTGAACATTCCCCCTATTAACGTTTAATAGCGTTATTCCACTGACTTAAATAGTACCGTAGAACTTCAGTTATATTTGTACTTCTTTGCTTTCACTATGTTGCCCTAGTCAATTTTTAAAAGTAATTAAATCCTTCATCAACCTTGAAATCATAGGATGGCTCTCTACAGAGTAGCTTAACTACTAAGCGTTAAAAACTTACACGACATCACCTTGATGCAGATTTTTATTAATTTTCTAGACGAATTCGAAAGCTGTTTGATTTTGTTCGTTGATTTTTTTTTTGTCAGATTCTTCATAATTATCTTTTATGTAAACTTCTGATCTAATATAACCCTTCCTACGGCTATGTGCATCTTGAACTCATTCTAGTTAGCTAGAACTATAAACAAAACACAATTTTATTTCAAATCACGCATTTTAGAATTAAAAGGCAAATGAAAACAGATACTGTCTACTTAAAAATGATAACTCTTTCCAGTTTGTTTTACAGTGCCTACCTGTAACTATGAAAAATACTTTTGCTTTCATGGCCCAATGTATTTACTCCTTTGCAGCCTTTACTAACCACAGAATTTCTCTTCTCAGTGTGAAATTTCTTATTGCAGCATGAATGAAAACATTACATAATTTTTAAGGAAATTAAAAAAAAACACCCCACACCAGGATTCAAACTAGGAAGTCCAGGGATATTTTTAAAGATTGTGGGGTTTTTATCCCAAGAAAAGAAGAGATAATACAACTTTTTCTGGACTGACGCTGCAGTCTTGGTTTGTGATTTCCTACATAAATTTTCAGCTTCCTCAACTACTTGGTTATCTCCTAAAGCATTTCTTAACTATTATACCAGCCACTGAAAGTTGAACTAAACAGTTTCAGTTCTTCTGAAAAACCCAACTATTATTGCTATTCTGGATTTGCCTTTTATGTAAGTGGAGTTTTAAAAACTGACTGGCTTTTATAGCATCCCGCTAGTAGCAGAGATGAGAGTGCAACTTATTCTTTGGAACAAAGATATTATTTGGTCTCACTGGTGTCATTACTTACAAAACTGCATGGTTAACCCCAGACAGTCAGTACCACTCCCAAATCTACTGGTGACTCTGCATGTAATTTTCAAAGTAAAGAATAGAGGAAGGGAGGAGGAAATAAGTGTTATTGCAACTTTTGCAGTGTTAAGGTCCAGCATCACCTTATACGACTCTGATATTCCTGTGAGGGGTCTAGATTACAAGAACATTTATTCAGTTTAGGTCTTTTGCAGTCGGTGGAGATGAGCAAACCATCAGGGGACACCTCAGGCTACAGTAAAACCAGCCTTAAGTAATTGTTCTTAAAGCCCCTTCGATCAGGGTGCTGCTACTAAGAGGTTGATGCAAAAGTGTCATGATCATAGAACCACAGAATGTCAGGGGTTGGAAGGGACCTCAAAAACTCATCTAGTCCAGCCCCCCTGCCAGAGCAGGATCACCCAGAGCAGGTCACACAGGAATGCATCCAGGTGGGTTTTGAAGGTGTCCAGAGAAGGGGACTCCTTAATGCTGTGCAGTGTTAGCCAGCTGACTTACAAATTAGGTGTGGAAGCACAACTGTCTCCCTGAATAGTCTGCAGATACACAGCTCCCATGAGATTACTCTGTTAATTGTTTTCTAACATCAGAAGAACGTGTTCTTGCAAGAGCAGCAAAACGCTAGAGCACATAACATGGAGCTTTCTCTTACCAGGGACAATAGAAAAGATGAAAGTGATGACAAAAAATGCTTAAGAATAAAAATTAAGACTCAAGAAGGAAAACCTTTCTGAAGGGATCATACAAACGTACCATGTATAATTCAAAAGTGAAGACACCAACCAGTCAGTGAAGAAGCAGAGTCATGAAATTACTGCCTCTGCTGCAGGACAGAACCGACGATACCAATTTTAAAGATAAGTTGTGCATTCTCCCTCTCTGAAGGATCTGCATCAGGCATAACACCACAGGAAGGATGTGCTTTCCTCCACCAAAGGCAGAGCATTTAGGAGCGTACACATCGCAGTATGCTGTAGTAGCACTCGATTCCTAAGATCAGCCACGATGACACCGCTTCTCTTCAACCAAACTGGGAAAGGAGCATTTTTCTGAAGCATTACAAAGAATCTAAGTCTACCTGGCCATCATTGAGTGAATTTACTACTCTTCATGCATCTATTTTCTGTACGTTTTCTTACCTTATATTTTGAACTGAGGGACTTAACGTTTCATCCTGAACGTTACTGGTTACAGCCGCATGTCCTTCCGTGAGAGACTGCAACGGTTGCATTACATGAACTGTCCGAAAAAGCTGAGTGGGATGTACTGGCTGAGGAGATTGCATTGTCCTCAAAACTTCTGAAGTCAAGCCAGGTGTCTGCTGCTGTACAACTTCGACGTGCTCCTTCAGCTTAGCAGGCTTTGAGTTTCCTGTTTTTAGTGCTGCGGTCGATCCTCCCTTTGTTCCTGTGTTTGCAGCAGCTCTAGATCTGCTTGACTGGTTTCTGTTGGCCACAGGAGTTGAGAGCAGAGTTGAATCCGATGCTTCAGTGCTAGGGCTTGCATCTTCGTCATCTATATAGACGAGATCTTTTGGCATTTCTTTAAATTGATATACTAGGCGCTGACCTTCTACTTTAGCCAGTATTCCTCTTTGGTAATAGTATCTGTTTAAAGTGTAGATACATCAAGTCACACAGTGGTTTTTTGCCAAAAAGCAACCCCCTCAAAAAAATCCCCAACAACTCCCCCAAAAGTAAGAAAAGCAGTAACAAGAAAACTATATTTTTAGTGCCTAGTTTCTTCATTATAAAGGAGTGGCCAACTTCATAGCGTATTTTTTTCTCCAATAACTTTCTTTTACTGTTATTTCTTGTCACCTTTTAATTTCAACATCAGGTAACTCTGAGGAGAGAAAGAAGAACTCTGTGACTTGGCAGCTCTGCTATCAACTCACACTCTTTAAAAGTTGCATGAAACTTGTAATTCTCCTCTTGACTCATACAGTTCTTTCAGTTACCTGAATTCACACTTATTCAGCAGTGAGCACAGGCAGACGTTTTAGCTATAACAAAGCAAAGCGAGTAGACAGGAGCGCACCACTTGTTATATTTACAAATTAATGTCACAATTTGAAATGACACGTGCCGACGTGAGGGATGAAGCAAAATAAAAAAGAAACGTTGCTGCTGCTGCTCAGTTGGGCAAATATCAATCAGCAAAGACTGAAGCTTCATGGATGTCTGCTTATTATCACAGTCTTTCATACAAAAGAAAAATCCCAGCCTGACAGGCAGAGGCACATGATGAGATGTTTTAAAATTTTCTGGACGCACAAGTTCAGAGAAGTGCAACCAGACCTGAGTCCTAAAACTGTATCGTCCACTGAAATGGGACTGTTTGCAACAAGTAGAAGTAATTCCATTAATACATCTGAATTTAGGACTTTTGGCAGACAAGATACTCAAATGTTAGGTAAAAAGTTTGCCCCACTTGGAATCACCAGTCTCTTTACTTTGTCTGTGGCTGACTGAAGATGCAGCTTTTGCAGCAGCACTGAAAACATCTGAGCTGATACTGAAGACAACTGATTTGGGGATGAGGTTAGGAAGGGTTACTTTTAGTTAGCTTACCTCATTTGCTTAAATAGCTTCTTCGTTTCCCAAATTTATAGAATACTACCTCTCTTTTGTTGCTACACAAATTAGATGAGCCACTGAATGCATGCAAACACTACAGCAGCAAAACCCGTCTGTTACTGAAAATGCACATACCTGAGAGCTCTTCCCATTGTTTCATAATTCATGTCAGGTTTGTTCTTGTGTTTTCCCCACAACCTGGACACGGCCTTGGAATCCACCAGTTTGAAAATGCCCTTCTCTCTTTGAGTCCATTTGATATATTTAGGACACGTAGCTTTGTCCTGGAGCAGTGCTAGTAAGAACTCCCAGAGATAAATTGTATTTCCTAAACCAAAAGTATTTCAGGACACAGAGGGGGGGAAAAAAAAAAAAGGAAAAAAAAAGGAAAAATGTTAGTTGACTGTATTTTACCGATGACTTAAATAATGTATCTTTATGAATATATTGTAATATATCATCAAGACTAGGAAATAGTGATGGAAGGGCATGGGAAGGGATTCTTGTTAATTATTATAAACTGCGTGCCCAAACCCTGCAGCCACCGTGTAACCCACAGGGTCCAGTGCCAGGCAACCTACAGTCGCCCTGTTCCAACCACCACCGCTACCCAGCATTAGTAACCTGTGGGTACATTTCCCTCCTGCCTAATCCAGTCACAGAAGCAGTCACCTTTGCTCTACCTTAAACAGGAACGTGTTCAAGTCTATCCTCGGAAAATGCTGGAAATGAAGCCCTCACTTAACTTTTGAACCGAGGTGTTACACTCCTTTAAAAGGCTGAACAGCATCCTTTACGTTTAACAATTAGATTTACATGGGGCAATCGGTGGCATACGCTGGCAGAGGCAAACCTTCAAGAATAGAGTTCAGGAAGACTTGCTGGGTTTTTTTACCCACTGAGCGCTTGTACTTGCTGGTAGACAACATTCAAATTTAATTTTACAAACAAGCAGGCACACTTATAAATGGTAAACCATCATATCTGTTTGGTGTTTACCACACATAATGAAAGAGTAGTAAAATCACAGATTGTGAATACTTAAAACTACTATAAAGTTTGCATATCCTTTTTTTCCAAAAGTACATTTAAGGATTCTAAAGTCATATAACTAATAAGACTCCTTTTCCTGCCTTTTTTAAGGCTTTTGGTGTCTGATATTCTTTTGGACACTCGAAACCCACACAAGCTTCTCAAGTGGTACGCTGTAAGACTGCGAAAGGCAGAAAAACCTTCTTGTATGAAAGTATCACCTCCCACGAGCAGCCGTGCAAAGAAACCAGCAAGGACAGTGTGTGCAGATTTCTTTGAGTTTCACAAAAAGAAAGAAGATGCCCAGTGCATCAGAGGGTGACAGGAGCTCTTTTGTTGGCTTCAATCTAACCCGGCAGTTTTTTCAACTTTAAGAACCACCAACCTGGACATTTATCAACAAGGGGAGACATCTTACAAATCAGAACTCCCATACAACTGCATTATAAGCTCCAATTTGCAAATATTGAGCAAAATCAGCAGCACTGGCAGTATAAAACTAGCAGCTCATTCCAGAGGTGGAAGCTTAAAAAGTGAGCCTTGCCTTTGCAACAGCAGTCCCAGCTTATGAAAAATGGGCAGCCTGTTTGCCTTCAGATAGCCCCAAGGCAAAGGTTAAGACTACTTAGGCAAGAGACAAGGTCAGCCAGGAGGGAGCAACATTCCCAGCCATTTACCATCTGATCCAGGGTGCTTCTGTTGTAGTCTAGACTAAAAATGCTCAAGTGCATCAAGGCAATCTGCACATTTGTTACTCAGCCCCTGAAAATCACGGTGAAGACAACTGTCTGTTTTACTCACAGGCAAGATTTTTTTTTAACCTCTTCTGAGTCAGGGCAGGAGAAGAAACATGTAGAAAACTCAGTTTTCTCCATGCATCACATTGAATATTTATATGGAGGGACAGGGTTTTAGTGCACATGTTCCCCTGAGGGATGGGCAGCTCTTACGATTTTTTGCTTCCTTGCCATGGCTGGTTATATTAATATCCCTTTTACTTCAATTCTGTATTTCTCAAATTGCAAAACAGATGCTTTTGTTGTAGCTTTTTTACTAACAGGCAACACGCTCCTTTTTAATTCCTTTCGAATTAGCAATTTTGTAACAATGGACAAATGTGAAATATGATGCATCCTTGCTGTCATCAACACGAGACTCCTCCACCTTTTAATTCTGTGGCTAGCTGCTTTAGTATTTTCTGTTACTTAATTTAAGTACTACTTGGAAGTTCCTCTGATACTTTTCGTTCATTTTCACTTAAAAGTCAGGTTTTAATTAAAACAAAAATAAAGGCAGCAATGTATGCAAAATTGCTGGCATTAACTTCAGTGAAGCACTGTTTTCCAGTGTTTTTTTCTTTTGTCCTGTCATTAAGAAAATTCCACTTCCATAAAACTCCAACCCATACCCGTTTGTCACTGTAGTGATTTTTTCTGATTTCAAGAGAGCCTGATGTCCTCATGCCACCACCTTCCAGGTTTGGCTGGACTTCTGCCCTGGTGAGCATCGCACGCACGTCAGCATGTCTGTCCCTCCGGGGTGACACTGGGGAGGCTCATTCCCTGCTCCCTCCAAGGGCAGCAGCACTCGGTGGGGGCCGGGACGGGGATGAAGCTGCCCTTCGAACCTGACAGCAAAGCAACCGAGTTGCCGACAAAACCGACAGCCACCAGCAAACGGTTCAGTCTGGAGGAAATGATTTATTGTATCGGTTATGTGCCGTTTATTTTCTTTCTTACTTGGAAGCGCAGGAGGAATGAAAGAAATGTCAACCCCCCAAGTTTTCTGCCTGAGTCTTCAAGCCGCGTTATGACTTTGCTCCAAATTCAGGGCTTGGCACTTCCTGCTGCCAACTGGCAGCCTTGATTAGCTCCTCATGCAGAATTAGACACACACAGATGGAAAAAGTTTTCAAAGATCATCTGTCAAAATAACCAAAGCCCAAGAAACACTAATACAATGCAAAGCACTCCCCAAGACTTCACTCAAAACGCAGCAGCCTCTGCAGGGGGTTGAAGAGTTTCCAAGAATCCTCGCAACTGAAGTGACAAATACGGTTATTCTCCCTAGGAACTGGGTATTTCACCAAGAAATCTCATGTCCTAATATTTACTTGCCTTAAGATGAGATGGTAATCGCTCCTAAGCGTAAGACCTGGTTTTACACCACAAGAGAACTAATGAACTTGGGTCTTTCTACAGGCAACTCAGAAACAATGTTCTTTAAAAAGAACTTCACCAACAACACTTTGACTTACCCTTTCCATCTTTGTTTTTCTTTTTCACAGATATGTTTGGGGTTGTAGTAGGGGACTCAGGACGAGATGGTTTCGGCTTCTTCCCTGAAATAAACCACCAGTAAGTCAACTGCAGTTAAAAAAAAAAAAAAAAAAGAAGGAAACAGAAAAGAATAAGGACCTAAGAACAGAAGAGATTTGTTTCCCCAATTCAGAGAGGATTCAATTTCCAGTAAGTTAGGAGGTCCATTCCACATCAAAATTGTTCAATTTCTACAGCAGGACTGGACCTGCTAAACTCTTAAGCGTACTTCTAGTAAAGACTATGCTCACTTTTCCAAAGTCCACGTACCTTGGAAGTTTCTGTGGCTTTTTGGGTACACCTGAGAGCACTTAAAACAGATGAGCTGAGGAAAATAAGGCTATTAACTATAGGCAAGAGTTGAAACAGGAAAAGCTAGATAAAATACAGAGCACCACCTTTTTCATTCATCAGCAAAACAGAATTTATAGAATCACAGAATCATTAAGGTTGGAGAAGACCTCTAAGATCATCGAGCCCAGTCATCAACCCAACACTACCATGACCGCTAAACCATGTCCTAAGTGCAACTTCTACATGTTTTTTTAACACCTCCAGGGATGGTGACTCCACCACTTTCCTGAGCAGCCTGTTCCAATGCCTCACCAGGGGACAAAGGAAGATTGTCTGTGTGTTCAACAGACCGGAAGTCTCCACTGGCAGCAGCAAACTATCCTGTCACATGAAGAAAATATTTTTCACTTCTGCTGTCTTTTACACCTTCCTCAGAAGTGGTTACGGTTAAAGGAAAGTCACTTGTTTGTTTGTTAAGACCAGCAGAGCCAGTAACAGGACTCTGAAAAAATGTCAATTTTTAAAGTTCTAAGCATGGTGGCTCTGCCTGGTGAGGAAGAGTGAAAGGAAGAAGTTAGAATTGATGACAAGAATGAAGAACATTAATTTTCAAATGTTCAAAAATCAACTATCTAAACATACGTGGAATACAAAATACTAGTAATGCTGAAGGAGTTTGCAGTATGAAATGTTGACCCTATTCCTTTATTAGTCCTCATTCCCTCCAAAGGCACCTTTTACAGGTGACGTAATTCATCAGAACACTTCAGAATTTTCTTATGAAATAGAAATTTATCATGTTTTGCAGTGACCTGTTAGTACACTGACAATACCTAAATCATTCACATACAACCTTTGCTTTTAAAAGGCAGAAGAGACCAAGCAGATACAGGACTCGGAAAACTACATTTCTAGCCCAAACAGCATATTGTAATAATTCAAGATCTACAGAAAAAATAAATTCTTTTTCTCTATTTATTGCATTTCCAAAGAGTTCACATTCTAAGGAGGCAAAACCAACAGGCAATCCCATACACTTCTGGTTGTTTTTTTTCACCGTCTCTTTTAGAAAGGAAACAGTTGTGCTGCAAAGTAGGAGTGAAGCTTTTTCACTAGCTCTGAAAAGAAAAGCTCAGTGCCAGCCTGCGCTGTCTGCTTTGTTCTGGACTTCCAGTTACCTATAAAGACGCCATAAGAAACACTGGCTTGAGTGCTCACCTTTTGACACTAGCAGCCTTGCTAAGTCCAGCTTTGCACCTTTTCCTTTCTCTCTCTTGTTTTGACAGGGCAAGGAGAAGGAGGAATAGATAGTTAAGAGAGCTGCAGTGAGGAAACTCTAGTAATGCCTGGAGTCCTAATTTTCTTGTTTCTACTCAGATGAGACTCATGACTGAGGATGGGACACAAAGTTCAGCTATGATCTTAGCCAGTAACGTCTTCCTCGACAGAACGGTCAGAGTTGGAAGGGACCTCTAGAGATCATCTAGTCCAACCCCCTTGCAAAAAGCAGGATCACCCAGAGCAAGTCACACAGGAAAGTGTCCAGGCAGGTTTTGAAAGCCTCCAGAGAAGGAGACTCCACAAGCTCCCTGGGCAGCCTGTGCCAGTGCTCTGTCACCCTCACAGTAAAGAAATTTCTCCTCATGTTGAGGTGGAACTTTCTATGCTCTAACTTAAGCCCGTTATTTCTTGTTCTATTTCTGGGCACCACTGAAAAGAGATTGTCTCCTTTCACTTGACACCCAGCCCTCAGATATTTATAAACGTTAATAAGGTCCCCTCTCAGCTGTGTCCTTTCAAGGCTAAAGAGTCCCTGAGTTGTCTCAGTCTCTCTTCATAGGAGAGCTGTTCAAGTCCCTTAATCATCCTCACAGCTCTCCGTTGGACTCTCTCCAGTAGGTCCCCTTCTCTCTTGAATTGAGGAGCCCAAAACTGGACACAGTATTCCAGGTGTGGTCTCACCAGGGCAGAGTAGAGGAGGAGGAGAACTTCCCTAGACCGGCTGGACACACTTTTCTTAATGAATGAATATGGGAAGGAGGAAATCCTACAATACTGTTTTTTTAATACATCGTCATATGAAGGGATGAACTACTGGACTATACATTTTTAGCAGCTTTGTTCGGCTCACCATTACTGGCTGCAGAAATGTTTGTTTTCCCTATTAATACATCGTCATATGAAGGGATGAACTACCGGACTATACGTTTTTAGCAGCTTTGTTCGACTCACCATTACTGGCTGCAGAAACGTTTGTTTTCCCTAAATATCTAGATGAAGCCACTCTTGTGTAAATCAGCTTCTACTGCAGAAGAAGTCCCTCAGGGTAACTTTGGCTAAGTGCTTTTCTCCCTCAGAGTTGTGTCAAGGGAAGCCTGTTGGGTGCTCATCTTGTTTCCCCTCTTGTAGAGGTATAAATGTAAGTTGTTGAGGAGTGGGGAACGTTATTTCGATGCCATTAATTACCTGCGTCCAAATGAGATCAAGTCTTTAAAAAAACCCAAACAGCTCTGTTAAGTCATGACTCAACTACTGCTGGTCAACTTCAGGGAACAGAAGTACCGCTCACATATAATTTATGCACTTCTGATGGGGGATAAGCTAAGCTACTAAATATGAATACTACAGCTACAGCAATTCTAGGCTTTCTTACCTCAGCCTAGACTACTTCAGAACATCCTGTTTGGACAATGTCGTACTAGAAATCCATCCAAAATTAGAAACTCGTTTACAAAAAGGTATTGATGCTACTGCTCTGCATCTGGGCTAGAGATACTTAAGATGATGGTTTTAATCTCCAGGCACTCGCTGATACTATCAAAAACACAGTTAAAAGAGAGACACACAATATGTTTCTTTTAGTTTAAAACAAGATAATTTCTGAAAGCACAGAAAGCATTAGCACACTTCCTCCTTTGGTTCAACAGAGCATGAATTTGTTACCTCTCAGAGTGCATCACTAAACTCCTTTTTAGGAGAGAATTTTACAAAGAGGAAGGATGAAAAATGTGCAAGAGCTAAGCCTTATGTGGGGCTACCATAATTTTGTATAGCTAATAGAATTTTTTATTGGCATTTCCACTTTCCTGTGTCCATCGTTGCAATAAACACTTCAGGTTAGAAATTTACGCTACAAATTAATGTGGTATTTAGCCAGTGAGTTGTTCACACTGGTTAACAATTTTAAACCACACCAGAAAATGTTAAGTACATCTTCTTGCAGTGTTTTTAGTGGTTCTTGGTTAAAAATATATAAAGTATGAAAAAACACAATAAACAGTATGTATCTAAAATGCCACGTGCATATAACTTACATGACCACCTACTGCCAGATACTTCCCACAGCAAAAATGGCACTGAAGATACTAGTATAGGAAATTTCCAAGCTTCCTTCCCTGACATCTTTTTGTTTCTCCTGCCTTCCTGCTGTGCAGTTCAGCAGCTCGGACCTTTTTCAGTACAAACATCATGTTAAATGCGGGCATGGAATTGAGCAAATGGGTGGACACAGCAATGGGGCCCACAAGGAAAGAAAGTGAAATCACCCCATCACTTCTGGAGAACATTTTCTTGGAGGAGGCTCTACTGGGCAGTGTTATTTTGGCTCAGTTAGTTGGCAGGGCTCTGCACAATGCAACCCTGCAAGTTTAGCTGACAGGTTATATATATGAAAGGGAAAGGGACTGCACTTAAAAAAATTCACCCAAGTCACCCAAAAAACCCACCCAAAACCAAAAGGAACCCACTCACGTCATCCTGATGTGCACAACGCCTTACAAATTCCTGGACATTTTAAATAACATTTCAACAGGCCGCAGACCATACCATCTACCCCATGAAGTCTCAACTTCATTGAAAACTAGTAGTTAAGAAAACACTAAACCGTCGCACCTCCTCTAGTATTTTTGCTACCTGATGGACCTGTCAAAAACACATGCACATATTTGCTGTGAAGCAACTGGTTTTCTAATCTACAGCTAGGGAGGAGGAAGGAGTGGGAGTAAGCAGAAGCATAACATGAAAGAGGGTATGAAAGCATCAAGCCAAAGAGGTTAAATGTCTGGCAGACAGCAGCTCTTTGTTTTGACCCACGTAGCAGCAAACATTAAAAGGAAGAAGAAAAGAACAGAATGAAACCAAGAAAACAATTTAAAATCCTCTTAGGGTTGGTTATCTTGCAGTAGTGCGCAAAGCACGGTAGTTTCCCCAGCAGCGTTCTCAGGGCAGCTGCTGGTAAAGCTCTCCTCCACAGCGGGTTTCAGTTCAGCTTTCTTACGGGAATTGGAGACTTCCGGACCCACATCAGTCCCTGTCAGACCCTGTGACACACTCGGGGCTCAGGAGCCTTCCCCAAGATCTCCACAGGTGCTTTACCCTGAGGGTGGTGAGGCACTGGAACACGTTGCCCAGAGAGGTTGTGGATGCTCCATCCCTGGAAGTGTTCAAGGCCAGGCTGGATGGAGCCTTGAGCAGCCTGATCTAGTGGGAGATGTTCCTGCCATGGCAGGGGGGTTGGAACTAGATGATCTTTGAGGTCCCTTCCAACCCAAATCATTCTATGATTCTATGATATGCTCTCACATGGATAACAACTCCCAGCCATTTGGAAATAGCAGCAAAAATGTGCTCTCGTTGAGCAGGAGCCCCATTCTGGAAGGCTTTTATTTCAGAGAAAAACCTGTCAAAGCTCTAATGCTCCTCTTCAGATCCAGGATTAGTTTCAGAAACATTTGTTCCTTTGTTCCTTCTTCTTTTAAAATTTGTTGCAAGAGTACCTTACATCTGCCTGCACTGCATGACTCTCTTTCACTGCAGACATCAGCATCAGGATCTCCGATGGGGTGGTCCACACTGAAGTAGGACGGGAAAACAGGAGCAGAAAGTCTGACCGTCCCTGCTCACTGCAGGAGGGTTGGACTAGATGACCTTTAAAGGTCCCTTTCAGCCCAACACACTCTATCATTCTGTGATTCTATGATTGTCCACCACTTGGTAGCAGAGCACTGACTCCAAAGGGACATCACTCAGTGGACGCTGTGTAAATGTGATCTACTGCAAATGGGATTAATCCTTACCATAGCATGCAGTTATTAAAAGAAAAAAAATAAAATTAAACTGTTCATATTTAAGAAAAGCTAAAAAACCCTCCTCATTCTCATTCTATATTCTTAACAGATCAAGCATCTTTAGCTGAAGCTAAATGAGAGCTAATGAAAGTGCTTCAGGATTCACACAGAATCACAGAATATTAGGAGTTGGAAGGGACCTCAAAAGATCACCTAGTCCAGCTCCCCTGTCAGAGCAGGATCACCTACAGTAGGTCACACAGGAACGTGTCCAGGTGGGTTTTGAATGTCTCCAGAGAAGGAGACTCCACAACCTCCCTGGGCAGCCTGTGCCAGTGCTCTGTCACCCTCACAGTGAAAAAGTTTTTTCTAATATTTTTGTGGAACCTCCTATGGTCCAGCTTGTACCCATTGCCCCTTGTCCTGTCACTGGACATCACTGAAAGGACCCTGGCACCGTCCTCCTGACACTCACCCTTGATGTATTTATAAACATTCTTGAGTTCACCCCTCAGCCTCCTCTTCTCCAAGCTAAAGAGACCCAGCTCCTTCAGCCTTTCCTCATCAGGGAGATGTTCCACTCCCTTCATCATCTTTGTGGCTCTGCGCTGGACTCTCTCAAGCAGTTCCCTGTCTCTCTTGAGCTGAGGGGCCCAGAACTGGGCACAATATTCCAGATGTGGCCTCACCACGGCAGAGCAGAGGGGCAGGAGGACCTCTCTCGACCTACTAGCTACTCCCCTTCTAACACACCCCAGGATGCCATTGGCCTTCTTGGCCATGAGGTCACATTGCACATTCACAGTGACAATTGCTCTGTAGCCTGTATTGGGAGCTCTGCTCTGAAGAAGAAACTACACATGGGAACAAACAGAGATGCATGTTTTCTGTGGGAAAAGCCATCACTGCTACCTCTCCAACATCACTGGTATCTAAGCACCAGTACCTGTGCTCGCACTATCCAGTAAGAAAATGCTTTCTCTGTTTTTCTAGCTGAGTCTGCTCAGTTATTTTATCCTGACACCCAGAATGGTTCCAGACACCTCCAGGTGAGGTGACAATGACACCACTGCTCTCTTACTCCATGCTGCTGCTCTCTGGTAGCGTCTTACCTTTTTTCTTCTTTGGTTGTTCAAATTCTGGAGTCTCTGGCGATTCAGCATACGGGTCTGGGGTTTGTTGAACTTCCACCACCTCAGGGATCCCATCCAGCGTGACTGACACGTGTGTGATAGGAGCCACCATATCATCATCTTCAGTTGCGCCAAACATAGTTGCTTAAGGGAAAGGGACAATAGCAATATTTTCACACAGCCACATGGACTTTTAAAAACTTTTTTTTTCCCCAGCAAAAATTTATATATAGAATAAAATAAAACTAGGCCAGCACGGAACAGGAGACTAGTTCATAGGGAAGTATATGCGTCGGCATTTTACACAAGCAGAAGCACTATTAAAGTAGAACAATTTAATGATATAACTCACTTCCCCCAAAAGCACAATTATTTGGTGAGCACACATTTTTATTCATATTTAAGGCAACCTGCAGATATAAGTGTATATTCCTTCATCTTGGTAACATAGACAGGTCATCCTCTATCAGCCAAACAAAACACTGTAATCTAACGCACCCAACTACATTCACTCCCTCCTTCTGTAATTTTTGGCTTTTTCCTTACCTGTTCAAGTCTAGTATGGCAATGAAATCAATCACTGCATGCAACACTGGATTTCTGATATGCAAACTACATACATAAAAAACTACCTGGAAGCAAAATAAACTTACCAATTCCATGCAAGCGCACTGCACTGAATCCTTCCTTCTTTCACAAATAAACAAGGTAAATACAGATTGGATTTGCTTTCATTAAAAAAAAACCAAAAAAAACTTACTTATTCTTTTTTCATCCAACATAGGACCAGGTGAGTCCATATTGAGAAGTGCTTCAGCAGCCTCAATAGTTTCCATTGTTTCATCTCCATTATGACAAGAAGCTTCAACTAAAAGGAACACAGAAAAATTAATTCTTAACAAGCTACAAGCTGGATTTAAAGCTTAACATCATTCCCATTCCATTTATAGTAAAAAAAAAAAAAAGGTAAACACAGGCTACTACTAGATTAGTAGTAACAACAAGTTAGCTGGGGAGAAATACGTACCACAATCATTTCTCATTTATTTAATAAAATACTTTTTGCAGATTTCTTTGTATTAAAAAAACCACACCAAAACTAACATGAATCTTCTGTATTTGCCTTATCTTTCTAATCCCTCTCTGCTCATCGAATACATGCAGTAACACACAACACTCAGGAACCATAAGAAATAGCCGTTGACCAGACAGTATTCCAGATTGTGTCCTTTGAAAAAAAACCCCAATATTGCTAATTTCTTCTTATGGTGGTCGAAAAGAAATTGATTCCATGATTAAGAGACGCTCACAAAAAAACATCCTGTCATTTAGTGTGGGAGACAGACAAGAAAATATTTCACAAATTGCATTAGAGAATATCAGATCTAAAGGTGTAACTGAATCCTAAACCATTCAAATGCACGGGGATCACAGGCAGGGTTAACAGTGCAGCTCCACAATTAGAAATTGAATATAATACACAAAGAGCAATACAGAGGCCTAGCAAACTTTTTAAAAATTTTGACTACCAGACAACCCCTTGCCAATCTCATGAGGCTGCTGGTTAGGCAAACCCAAAGCTCCTGGGCATTAATTTATAACTGAGGTCATTTGAAGCTCCACACCAAAAAAAATCCAATAAAATATCATAATTTTGTAAAAGAACAGCTGTCCAAGAAGATAATACTGGTTTGACTGGAGGAGTACTCTACCGGAGAATTTTTTTCAAAATAATTGTAACAAGACAAAAAAGTTAGATATCAGTTACGGTACCAGCACGTGGTACCATAAACTTTTAGAAATCAACACATTTTTATAGAAATTACTCTTGCTGGATGGAAATGCAGAGGCCACGTGTCCTTGGCCTTTAATACAAATCTGAAGCCAGGCTGGGGAATTCACTTGCATCTATCAAATCGGTAGGAAGGGCTGCATTAGTATATCCCTCCCTAGGACATCAACGAACCTCTGTTACTTTCTCAGTCTGGTCATGAGTCAGCATCAGCCCTCTCTCTGTGACTAGTTGTGAGGAATTTTGGGTGGGGCAGTCACAAAAACAAAAAAAAAAAAAAAAGGAGACAGACTGACAGAGCAAGCAAAAATGCACCACAAAAAACCACAATGATCTTGGAACACTTCTTCTTCGTGGAAAAGCAAAGGGTTTTATTTCCATACTTAAAAAAAATCTATTAAAAATCACAGTAACAACAAAGCACCCAGTTCACTAGCACTAACAGCAAAACAATTAAAAGAATAAAAATAAATTAAAAAAACAGAAGAGTTTCATCCCAAATGTTTACAGCTTCAGCAATCATATCATTAGGAGAGAGTAACGATTAACGTGGACGTTCATGCATCAGCCCTACCTCCTCCACCCTGCTGGGATTTACAGGGAGCACATGGAGCTCAGGAGAAGCCTCCTTACCTTCTGCATTTTTTCCTTGACCTTAACACTACCATGCCCCAAGCATCGGAGACTGGGGCTAAGATGGGATAAAGCAGAGGGGCGTTGGGAACCCCTGACCCGTAGAGCAACTCACCTTGCTATCTACAGGACCCCCCTGCCTCCACCCCACAACTTGCACAGATGTTCAGACAGTGAAGGATCTACACCTGGCTGACACCTCCAAACCAGCTTAAGAAGAAACACAGAGCTGGGGAGGAGGACAGCATGAAGGGAAATGGGTAAGCAGTGAATAGGGACTGATGTCCTGGCATGGGGCACAATTTGAAAGCCAGCAATGGTGCCCCCCAGCTCTTGGTGCTGTTGAGGGGAGGAGGAAGCAGCTTTTTTTTCCCTGCGAGAGCTGTGTGAGGAGCAAAGCTGCCTGCTTGCTTCCAGGTGCAGGGTCGATTTTTCACTCTGAGTAATTGGCAGGTCATCAGATTTACATCACTGTTACACCACGCGCCTAGAAGTCAACCATCCACATCCCAGACTAATGAAACAAACTTATAACACTCATAGAAACAACACAAACTTAGAAATTAATATTATCTGATGCTCACAAAAAAAAACCCCTAAAGAGTGCCAACTATCTGTCTATCCACAGACAGAGAATGGCAAAAATAAGTCTCTTAAACACTTTAATGCCCTTGTCACCCTTCAAGCCTCTTCTTAAAAGACGTCTTCACAAGCTACTTTGAGCCAAATTAATATTTCCCTGTTGCTGGAAAAAAACCAAAGGCAGTGGTTCTTCCTCCCATCTCCACCCCGGGTTCAGGATCCAAACCTGTTGTTTAAGGTAAGCCGGGCTTCGTGCTTTTTCGATCACACAGCGAGACGCTTCAGTTTTACCAAAGAGCTGAAAAGAAGTTTTCGGCGTACTGCTGGGTTAGCAAGTTGAACTACAAGAACTCAAGAGCTAACACGAACAAGGTGTGGGGCACCGCACAGAGGAGAGCGAGCCCCGCAGCTCAGTCCTCCCAGCAGCAACAAGCCAACTGGCATCGCTCCATCTGAAACGGCGCTTGGAGGTAACCAGCTCAGCTGCCAAAGGAAAGCTGGAGTTTTGCTATTTGGGTTTTTCCTCTTACTGTTGCATGAGGATATTCCAATCGGTGGCAGTTACGATACAATCACCAGTTTAAGAAGAAAGCGGATGAAACAGCCTATCTGTTACACTTTGGCGAAAGTCAGAGCTGAAAGAATGGTGGTGGAGGAAGTCATTTCAGAGAAGCAGCAGATTGCAAATGCTACCTTAAAGAGAAACTTAAAAAAAAACAACAGGAAAAAAAGGAGGGGGGAAAAAGGAGGGAAGGAAAGAAGGAAAAAAAGGGAAGTAAAAGACAGGGGGGAGAAAAAAGGAGAAAAGGCTGGGGGGGGAGGGAAAGCCACACTCAAAAGTAACTTTTTTTTTCTTCCCAGGGTCCTCTACAAGTTCCTGTTTATCTGAGCAAGCCACAAATGCAAGCCTCTGTATCTACACGCCAGTTCCAGTCCAGTTACTGCAAATCCAGGTTCGCTATGAATCAGCGCTCGCTGTTAGTGCGAGGCTTGCCCAAACGCAGCTTGCTGCTCTTCTCGTCTGGTGCACAAAAAAACGTGCCTCACGCTGGAAGGTACCTGCTTCAGCCCCAACTCCCGCCTTCCCCTTCTCCTGCCCAGGGTTCCGAAAGCTCCAGCCCGCTTTCGGCGATCCCGTCCCGCTCCCGTTGCTTCACTGGCAGCCGGCAGCTCCAGAAAACGGACAACGTGAGTCCTTGTCCAGGCCAAGATAAAGCTCTTAGTCACAGCTGTGTTTAAATTCACTGCTGGGTTTACTACAGACAAAAACAAGGACTGCAGAGCCTCGAAATAATGTTGGAAGAAATCTGAAATTGCTAAAAGTAGAAAGAGCTCCATTAAACATGGATAGAGTTCCCTTTTGCAGAATTGCTGGCTGTTAAATTAAGAGATTGCTTTTTAGTGTCAGTTCTGAGCTGATTTTTAACTGACACCGGAAAACTGAGTTTGGGAACAGAGATATTTCAGGAGACCCACACATTACCCTTCATTTTCTTTTTTAAACTAGGCTTCACAATCGGTACAGAAAATTACCTCATTGGGGAGCTACATGAAAAAGCCCTCACTGTTTTTAACCAGATGCTACATGCAGCAGTGAATAATTTCTTTAAAAAGTAAATGAAACCATACTTTGTTTTGTTGGTTTTGTTTTTTTTTTACAACTGGCACCTGATCAACTCAAAATCCTCATGGATTAACACTATGAAGTTCAGTTTCCACCTAACTACTTCCTTTGGATTTCTCTGTAGCATCAGAAACGATCCCTGAAGACACGGCACATGCGCACGACAGCAGGACCCAACGTCTCTTCGCCTTCCTTCTCCCACCCGAGCAGCTTGGCTCATGCCACGAATGCCAGAGCTTCACCAAATGTACGAGCCAAATGCCACCAAACTTCAAAATGCTTTAAAGTAACTTCTGAAATGTTTATTAAGAACCGTTATTGATCTATAAAAACGTACACTTCCATGCTTCCTATACAGAGCAGGGTACAGGGCATCCAAATGTAAATTTTCTGCCCCTCCTCTCTTACACCCCCAAACTACGTCAGTGCAGCCACTTCCCTGATCGCACGAAAACAATGCCAGAACAGGTGAACCACAAAAATGGTAGTTTGATTAAATGTCGTTTTTCTAAATTAAACTGGCCAGACATTTCAAAGCTAAAAAAAATAATTTAAATCAATAACAATAATTAAGCAGAGCAAATTTTACTGTCTAACAAGTTGGTCTAGAATTTATTCTGCATAAAATATTAGCTCCTGTAAATTTATTCTGCACAAAATATTAGCTCCTATATTTTTCAGAAAAAGAAAACCACAATCCAATATCCCCTTTAGAGGGAGGACTTCACTCAAAGCCTTTACTGCATGACCATTAATCATGTAAAACCCTGTACTACTGGCAGCAAACTGACTGTATAAATTGCCATCACAGTTTTTCCAGGGAAAAATGCTTTTAACGGGGAGGCTGATAAAGCAGGTCTGCCTATTCATTATAAAATTACAGCATGAGGATTAACGTAACTAAAAAGCTGGTTGCTGGTCGTCTTTTAGCAGGGTTTCTTGTGAAATAGATGCTGTTTTTATAGTTTTCCACAGATTGTGTTTTATACTATGGGCAAGTAATCGCAGATGCTGCGTTTTTGAAGGGCTGAAGCTACGTCCTATCCTACCTGCGTCCACCATTCTGCAGACAGATTCCTAAAAAATAATAGCTTCAGTTTCAGGAGACCTATGGCTTTTTCCGTTTGTTTAGGAGACAAGAGAAGCTGAAGGTATTAGAGAGTCATAAAGCAGTATGGAAAAAAAATGGTAACCTAAAAATAAATGACAAACCCTGCATACTAAGCAGCCATTTCTCAGTAGCATTTAGTCACAAATGATGGCGGTTTCAGTTTCGTTTTGCTGTGAACTTCAGTTTGATGAATATTTTAATATGGAATTAGTAGAGTCTTTATAATGTCTGATCCTCTCTCAAAGGCATAACATGGAAGCGACTGAAAAGACTGCTACAAACTTCAAAGAGTAAAACAACACGTTTCACTGCAGAGACCAAACAGGCCCCATGAAAAAAGGAAAAAAACAAATGGAAAAACAACAAAAAAACAAGAAGGGAACTTCAAAGAAGGGAAAAACAGAGTAGGAGGGAAATTTCAGTTATGATTAGCCCTGTTTCAGAGGCAGCCGACAGCGTGAACTGGGTCTCTTCCAGGGCAGCTTTGCCGTTCAAGCGAGCAGCCGCAGCCGACGCTTGCCTGCAGCAGGCAGGGAGGTGACAGGGTCAGGGGGATTCTTCCCTAATGTCCTTCTCTGAGGACCCTCGATTTTGAGTCAGGCTGGAATAGTTCCCCTCCAGGAAGAAAGAGGGGCCAGCGCTGCCCACCTTGCATCCTGAGCAGGAGCTTTCAGCAGCGGTGCTGCTGCCTGCCCAGCCCGGACTCATCTATTTTCCTTTCCAAGGAGTGTGAAACAAGATAATCAGCGAACATCTCCTTCGTGACAATAATCTCTGCAAAGCTTTCGAAGGACTTTGCCTTTAAAAAGCAAACCGCATTGCTTCAACTCCAATGGATGATGGGAACAATACGGTACTTGTCTGCCTCCAAAGTATCCCAGAAACCCTTGGACCCCAGCGGTTACAAGGATTACATATTTTCAGTCTCTGGCAGCAACTTGCAAACGCTTCTCATGTGACCAGTAAACAAAAGCATGCACAAAAGTGGAGTTTCACAATCACTCATGCGAGTAAAAACTCACACGCAACGCACTGCAGTGAATACGGATTCATAAAAATGATCTGCTGTGAAAAATTCACACTCTCGCATTAAGCGGCGCGTAAGCGACACGCTGAGGAAATGCCAATTGCAGTGTGAATAATTAATATGAAGAGCAAGTGAATAGTTGGCACGAGGTCTCAACTTGAAGTAATGTTTAAGTATGTAAAACCTTCTGGAATAATCAGTGAACTTATTTGTACGGTCACAGTCTGCTCACAGATAATTCACTGCTAAATCAAAAAAAAAAAAAAGAGTAATTTTTATCAGATAAAACCATTTACTGAGAACAGCTCATGTCAATTTACTCAGTGAATCGTTCCTGATGTCAAGTTTTGTCGAGTTTTTTGTTTTGTTTTCGGTCATTAAAGATTGTATCAGAGTATGCCTTTGGAAATAATGTCAAAAGCACGACTGGAAACAGTGAGCTGTCTCCAGCCACCGAGACAGTCCAGGTGTGGAGCCTAATGGCTGAAAGAAGATGCAGAAACAGATCCCCTCTTTGTGAAGTATCAATTCCACCTCGTTCTGCAAAAATGCATCAAATGCACTCGAGGAGGGGTTGTTTTTTAAAACGTTTGACGTATCTTTGAGCATTCCTCTCAAGAATTGTCTTCTCTTCAGGGCTACCCTTTCTAAGGGAATTTACACAGAACATTTGTACTTCAGTTCATTATTAGAGCTCCCAAATGAATGCTATGCTGAGCGTACTTACACCCATCAGTCACGCTAACATGCACATTTTAGGGTTAGTTGTATACCCTCCGGAAGCTAAAAGCAGTATATCTACTTAAGCTGCATATTCCTGCTTTTTGGTATCTACGTTTACTTAGGTATGTACCAACCATTAAATAAGAGCAATCAAATCCTACAAAGAGCAATGAAAAATCTTTTCAGTAGTCTGAGCAGGACTCCATCTTAATCTCTGTTGACGGATGAAACTCTCCACTGTTATCAGCTGTGCAGCTGGAACTCCAAACCACCTGCTAACCGTATTAATGCCATTTTCTCTGTCCTGTGCAGAATTAACAGCATTTGATACCACTATAATTTTGCTTCCAATTGTTTATTGTCCTTAAGCTTTTTTCCACCGTTAGTCACAGCCATCTTGGTGCAAAAAAACCACAGTACGGAAATGTTTTTATTGCCAACCTGTGAGGGTGATATCGTCGTCTTCTATGATTTGCTCCTCTGCAACGTCCAGAGAGCTCTCGGTGATCATGTCACTAGGTTCATCCACGCAGGTTAAGCCGGAGTAGTTATGTAGGAGGTCTGCGCTCGGAACATGTTCCACGATGACGGCGGGGAAAATAGATGGATCACCAAGCTGAGGGGTGGAAAAAAAGAAAATTAAAATAATGGTGGTTAGGATTACATCCAGTCTAACCACTTACCGATTGATACTTCAACAGACCTGTATGACACCACCTGAATATCAGACCATCGTGAGGGAGCACCAAAGAACACGATGATTTTTAGCACACAAACCCAAGTAGCAGCAGTGCCCTGCTACGGGCTAGAGGCTGAATATTGCTCTGCTAGCTAATATATTGACTTTACATCAGTAGGTAATACCGGATTCCCATGACAATATTTTGCAGCATAAAAGCTGACAATACAGAGGAGTGGCACAGCACAGTAAATGCTAAATTCTTCTGGCAGTAATACTGGGCAAGCAATTTGCTGTAAGCACTTTAATCTCTTGTTCTTCCCGTCAAGGTGGGGGTGGAGGACTGTCAGGACTGGACGAGGCTCTGAGAGGCACCAAGCTTCCCATGAGACACTAGATTTAGATCACTATTTTAGGGGACACTTGTTACAAAGGGTGTAACAGGGAGAGCTTCATATACATGCCCTAAGACTCTCCCTCTCTAATTCTTACAGCTTTAGTCATTTGACATTACTCTCCACTCCCACTTCCCTTTCTGCTTTCAGACATCATCCTTCTGTCTTGATCGTTATTTTGCATCAGATACAGAATAAAAGAGGCAGCTGGGAAACCAGAAATCAAGCTGACCAGTAATAATGATGATAGTAAGATGCACACTCTCTGAAAAGGCAACTGTTCAACAGGAAGATGGTTTCTGAAAATTTTTTTACTACAGACAAAAGTATTTTCCAAAGTGAATCCTTTAAAATGTCATCTGCAGGAAGAAAGTCATAGCTGATGATAGCAGAGCAGGCTTAAAGAAAGTCTAACATAACTCTAAGGTTCCCTCACTATAAAAATAGATCACATTGTGAATGTAGCGAGCTTAAAAGCAAGAAACTAAAAAGCTGCTAAAACATGTTTCTGAGAAAACCAGTATATGTATGTTCAGTTTCATCCTCTACAGATGAGTACAGATATGCACAGATCAGGGCTTTTATTTAACTACAGAAGAAAAAAAACACACCAAAACCCCCCTATCATTATGACCTTGCTTAGGGATTGCTCATGTTCATAGACTTGCCACTACGCACACCACCACCACCAGAAAACAGTACCAGAGCTGCTGGTTCAACACAGACAATGGCTACAGAATTAAGTCTCTCCTAAGGAAGAATATGAACATCAATAGTGAAAGCAGAAAGTGCAATTACAAGTTTTAAAAGGCAGTAATTATCACTTTAAATTGCTCTATGTTTTGTAAAACATGTCTCAGCAACGACTGTGGTAAAGGGCAATCAGGAAGAAAGGAAGAATTAGGAAATGAAACTAGTATTTCAATGGGCTTCTATCACGGACACTTTGCTAAACAAAAATCCCAACAAAACCAAAAGCAAAATAACACCCAACAAGTAAACTACCTACTCTGCCGAACATTGGCTTCAAAATAGAATAACATGGTGGGAGACCAATAAGAATGAATGAAGGGCAGACCAGTCAGTTAAAGCCCTCTTGTGCAATCACAATGCCAGAGTATATTGAGTCAAGCAATGGGGCCGCTTCTAACCCCACACTCTTTTGGCCACCTCAATCCAAGGCTGCATCTTGCTGAGGTTGAAAAACCAGGAATCCCTCATGCCAAGAGGTCCCCGCTGCTCCACAGAAAGAATTGTGTCCACATTGTGCATTTTGTTTGTTCACTGACCCCAACAGCCCTGATCCAATTTGCTTCCAGGCAAGAATAAACAAAATAAATTTGATTAAATAAAAGCCACATTAATACAAAAGATAAAGCACTGCAAAGAGAGAAGAAAAAAAACTGTATGCATTTAAAAAGGCTTTATTTTCAATAATACATTCCATAAACTAGAATACAGTCCATCATAGTCTCATCACTGAGATACAGTGTTTAAATACCTCAATTTCAGTAATATGGCACAGTATAAAACTTTTGGGCTGTGAGCTCCCAATACCGTACACCCACGCATGTGAATATATTTTTTAAAAAGTTAAAAAAGGATTACGTACACCACTCCACTTGGGCTCCCATCACCTGCAAGCAAGAAGAGCATATGCTTTGCAAGTACCTGGTTCAGTGCCCTACCAAGTAGGTAAAGACTATGGATTTTAGGTAGGGAAGATGGAAGTAAGATGACTTTAGTCATCTTATTCTGCTCTAATTCATAGACACGAAGGGTGAAGTTCACCCCATCTCAGTTTAGACACCTGTGGTGCGGCACCTGGACTTGAGCCAGGCACCTCGGGCTTCCTCCAGAGCTGGAGAGAAATGGGTATTTCTAGGGCGCGATTTCCCTGCCCAGTTTTAGGCTTCTGTGCTACAATAGGATGAATCATGCCCTAAAAACGACCATCGAAACAGCTGTCCCACTGTGCCTGTATATAGGCAAAAAAATAAAACCCACGGCAGGGGAATCCTTCATTGCTGAAACTTGGCACCAAGGAACCTGCCGACATATCACGCTTCCGTAAGAGGTGACGGAAAAAGCATTCACTCGTGGAAAGACACTTCATAGAATCATGGAACAGTTTTGGCTGGAAGAGACCTTTGAGATCATCGAGTCCAACCTTTTCCTAGCCCCATCAACACCACTAAACCATGTCCCTCGGCACAACATTGACCTGTCTTAAACACCTCCAGGGGTGGTGACTCAATCGCCCCCCACTGGCACACTGTTCCAACGGCTGGCAACCTCTTCAGTAAAGAAATTCTTCCTAATATCCAACCTGAACCATCCTATCACTCAGAATATGTTTTTCTTTAAATCAGTAACAGTTTTGAACTGGGAGAGTCAGAGTAAATAGCACTTCTTATGGCTTTTTGTTTTAAAACTGTTGTTACACCTGCTTTCAACTCACACCTCCCAGAGACGCAAGTATAGATTTTCTTTCCTGCCACAGCTGTAAAAGGCTGGAACAAATAACTAATACGCTTTCAGAGGAAAAAGCATTCACACCACTGCAAACAAAACTAATTTGAAATGTATTTTTGTGGAAACCATCATGACTTTTTTTCAATGATATTTGCAACTGGTTACGATTTCATCGATGAGCATTTCATTCACTTTTAAAAGCTACTACTAATGGATGCTGAGGTTGAGAGGTAAAAATCTCACTTCAGTACTTTTATAATATTCTTGATTTTATTGAAAGCGTCTGAGTCCAAATTAAGAGCCAAGCTAAAGCTTCCTGTAGCTCTGTTTTTGTACAGCACAAGAATAACTCTGTATACATTTAGAACTGCAGAAGAGCCCATGTTTACTACGGCTCCCTTTGATGCTAGTGTGTCATGAGAATAACATACAGGTAAAACATTAAATTAAAGACTAGAAGGTAGCGATTCAATCAAAACAAGTTAAATTACCCGTCTAATAGCAAGATCACAACATAATTAATTCCTAATACAAAGGTGGTTCTACACGCACTAACAAGATGGAAGAATGTAAAGTGTCCCCAAATTAAAAAAAGTCTCAAATTAATGGATGAGCAATGATTTTCAATAAATCAATACATAAATCCACAGAAGAACAATTTGTGTCTTTTTTTTTTTTCCTTTTGTGTACTTCTGCTCCTTCATCTTTCTCATGTAAAATACTGTTAAAATACTTTGCACCCAAGCTCTGCCAAAGCTTCAGTGTGGCTTCAATGTACCGCCCGTATTTGCGGGATGCACAGAGGAGCTGAGCTACTGTTGAAATCTTCCCAAGTTTTGACACCAAATTGCTCACTGTAGTTTATCTACAAACCGGTCCTGTAGACTGACCTTTAACAATGGGGAGGAGTGCAAAGCTTCAGACACGTGCTGAAAGCATCTGTCACAGAATCATAGACCAATTTTGGCTGGAAGAGACCTTCAAGATCATCAAGTCCAACCTTTTCCTAGCCCTATCAACACCACTAAACCCTGGCCCTCAGCACAACATTTACCCATCTCTTCAACACCTCCAGGGATGGAAACTCAGCCACCTCCCTGGGGAGTCTGATCCAATGCCTGACAACCCTTCCAGTAAAGAAATTCTTCCTAATATGCTCCATGACCCTCTCTGAAAATTGAACCCTGCCCTCTTCCAGGGGCCAAAGGTGGCAATCTTCCTTCCTGCTGTCAAATTCTTCTTGGGTGTCTGACATGCTGACAAACTCTGCAAATTCTCTCGTTAGCTGTCATGACAGAAGATCAAAACATCATCCTGGTTGTAGGAAAGCAAAATAAGGAAGGGCATTTCTTCTGCTCTGGAGGTACTGTCTTCTCCTACTACAAGTCCTCTAAGGAAGAAAACTTGTCCCAGGAATACAGCCACTGACTTATAACTGGTGTGGAACAAATTTTGCGCAAGTGTGATGAGTAGGAAGAAAGGTGTGTAACCGACAGGGAACGGCTACATGTTAAAAAAAGAAAAAAAAAAGATGAAAAAATTCAGTGAAAAAGCCCTGCCTTTTTAATAGAGCAACAGAATTCAGACCTGCAATACTGTTTCCCATTTATTGTTCAAAAAAATAAGCAAAACTAGGCAAAGTGACCTGGGTTACTAGAAAATGGGCATCACTTTTCTGTTGTTCAAGGTTCCTGTGCCAATAGCAGAGGCAGCCTCTTGACTTCAAAGGCTTTCCCATGGCCGGCATCTGAGTAATGAGCAAGTTTCGCAGAGGGATGCTGGAAGCAGATAAATGCCACTTGCTTTCCTGGAGAGACGACCTCGTGATGAATCTCACAATCATTTCCTTAAAATCCTCACAAAACTGCAAGTGGATTCTGCAGGAGCTGGAAAAAGCCAAAAAAATTAGATGTTGGCCTCAACCAGGTGACTCAATGCTTCTGAAAGCCCACGGCAACACAAGGGAACGTGGAAGAGCAAACTAAGGCATGAGAAGATGGTGCAGAAGCATGGCCCAACTTAAGGCCTCAGACCCTTCTTCCTCAGAAGAATGGAAGAAAGAAACATCCTTCATAGACAGAGAAGGTGTTTTGAGGCCCAGATTACTACAGCTTGAGAGCCACCTGAGGGAGCATCTGTTAGCGCAGAGCTGGGGCACTTGTGTAATAGTTAATAGCTGAGATGATTCAGGATGTCCCCAGCACCTTTAAAACTTCCAGCCTCAGTGACCTCTTTTATTCAGCTTTATAAATCACAGAATATTAGGGACTGGAAGGGACCTCTGGAGAGCATCTAGTCCAGCCCTCCTGCCAGAGCAGGATCACCTACAGTAGGTCACACAGGAACACGTCCAGGCGGGTTTTGAAAGTCTCCAGAGAAGGAGACTCCACAACCTCTCCACAACCTCACTGGCAGCCTGTGCCAGTGCTCCATCATCCTCACAGTAAAGAAATATTTCCTTATGTTTAGACTCAGCCTCCTGTTTTCTAATTTGTGACCAGCGCCCGCTGTCCTGTCACTGGATGAGTCTGGCCCCATCCTCCTGACACCCACCCCTGAGATATTTATAAGCATTGATGAGATCCCTCCTCAGCCTCCTCTTACGCCCTGTTCAATTATCACATTAACTGTAAGTTAATGAAGGGCTAAATGAGAAGATATTGAGAGTAGGAGCTGCAGGCACGAAGAAAAGCAGTTTTAGGCAGTGGCCCTGACTCAGCCAAAGCCTGTAAAAGCTCCTGCCCAGATGAAGAAAGAAAAGCACAAATGGCATATTTAACCAGGACCTCTGACATGTAGGAGCAGCCAGTCAGGTTGTCAGTACCATTACAAACCACTTATTCCCTTCTGAAAATCATGAGGATATTTTCACCCCATTTCTTCACGATCATCACATGCACAATACAATAAATGAATCCTATAAGAAGAAAAAACAACCAACAAAATCCTATTTTCTAAATCAAAAAGGATAAAGCTGGCAAGAGACAGCCTCTCCCGTTCACATGGGGCCACGTGATCGAGTCTCTCCCCATTGGCTGAATGCTTACATTTGCAAATGGACTGTTCATAATTTACGTTGTTTAACCAGGACTTAAAAAAAATAAATTAAAAAAATAGACATGAATTATTACTTCCCTGAAATACTGAGCATAGTTGCCATCTAGACCTTGAACCTCTCCCCACAGCTGTTTCATGTCCTCACAGCTCCTGGCACAACAGGGATCCATGCAAAGTTTTTGACAAGCAGAAAAGTATCAAAGTTCTTGAAACACCAGCTTTTGGGGGCACCACAGAAATAACTATCCAAAGGTCAGTTAAATGTCATAAGTATGTCACCTTTTATACATTGATGAATCTCAAAAAATGCTTCTGACCAACACAGAGCACTTCCAGAGCTAAAATTTTTGCTAAGTACACAAATCTTGTCATCTATCCATAAATACAACTACTCTGCCCAGAATCAAAAAACTTTGGGAGTAGCAAAAGCTCTGATGTTGAAAGAAGCAGATCAACCAGGTATATGCAATTAAAAAAAAAAGAAAATCTTTTGGGGTTAATAGTGTACTATAAATTCTGGTCAAAGCTAAATCTTGCTCCACTTTCCGAGATCGTTCCCTGCACAGGACTCTGTTTCTCCAATGAGTATTCCACATCCACCCACCTTGGTGCAGCCAGCTAGCTGGCTACCTGCATCTTTGATATCAGCACTAAGCCAATGAAGTGATTTAAGAGAAGCTTGCGTCCAAGTGTTTGCAGTGAAGAACCTTCTGCTGTACAGTCTCTCTTTCCAGCCTTTCACATCTCTGATTTCAGCACCTTTAGGGTACACTTTAGGACGCCTTCGTTTCCTTAGGTTTCATCTTGGAGTAGGATTTACTGAGGTTATGAGATAAAGGCCATGGTTGTGTTTGTTCTGGAGCCGGAGAAAGCTCTAAAAGGAGGCTTTACCACCCTGCTGAGTGCTCTTTAGTATTTTTTAAAGTTTTCCAGGTGAGCAGCTGAAGAAACTGCAAGAGGCAGAATGCACAACTAAATTGAACAAACACCCATTCCAGAAACTGCACTGAAGCAGCCCTTCCCATCTTATTTCTCCCTTCTCCCACCAGCTTGCAAAGTAAAGCCAGCAACGAGCAACAAACAGAGGTAATAAATAAGGCCCATTTTCGACTATGTTTGTGCAATTCCCCTATCTAAATCCCCAGGCTACCACAAGCTCTGGAAAAATACAGGGAAGGAAGTTACATTACTAGTTCCACCCAAAACTGAGTTAGCACTTTAGACAGACAACGCTCAGTTTATTGAAATGATCGCATGACTCCGACAGCAGAAACAGGCCACTCACCCGGCCAGATGTTAGGCCAGACAGAAAACCCAGAGAGAAGATTCAAAACTACTTTTGGCTTTATAAAGGTGGAGGGATAAAATGCCTTTCACGGTCAGAAAAAGAGGAACAGCTTGCCGTGGCGCTTCTCAGCCTTTTAAGCACTGTCTCTCCACAGTACCCAGACACATAATTTCTTCTTAATAAATGCAAAACCTTACTATTCACCACCACCAAGAGAGGGGGTTTTTTAATCCTCAGGACTCGCAGGATGTGGTTTAGATAATCAACACTGAACTCAGAGTCTCTTCAGACAGAAAAACAGACGTATTTTCCTTGCAGCATGAAAGAAACCAATTTAAACTACTTTGAAACTTACTTCTGAATAGTGGGCAGACAGCAACAATTTAGAAACCAATCTGTAAAAAGCAGTGAGCAGGTATCTACTCCTCCTTCTATTTATCTCTAGTGTTACAGCTACTTTTATTCAGAATTTTATCCTAGACCACTATGAAAGTTAAAACTACTGTCAAATACTAGGATTTGGAGAACTCTGCATCACAAATGGGCTGATTTGACCAGAATAGATCAGCAACACACGAAAAACATTTTCGGAGGAGGATGCTTCTGAAATACTGCGAGAGTTAGAACACTTCAACCAATTTCTGTTCTGCCCGTGCAAGTTACAAGAAACAACAGGAAGCTTTTGAAACAGCACAGAGATCTGCTACAACAGTAATGACTTCAACGTTTGCTTTTTTTCTGTTTTACACCACATTTTTCCCTCATGTTTTCCTATTATTCTTAGCAACAACATGTACAAATTCAGTTTGTGACACTGTCCCATACCTGCTGCTCATCCTCCATGACGTTGCTGGCAAATTCAAACACGAGCTCATTCTGCTGTACAACTGCTGCCATAATAACGCATTCCCAGCTCTCAGTTCCACATACGAAGAAAAATGTTCTCGAACGCAAAAGAGCGGAGAGCGTCACCAAGGCCCAGCTGGGCAGAAAGGCAGGGTCACGAAATGAATCAGGTAGCAGTGTTCCTATTCCTCAGATCATCGGCGTTCCCAGGTTCTTCTCTTCTCAGAAGGAAACAACAAACCAAGGGAAATCCTTTCCCGAGTTGTTCTTGCAACTTCGGCAGCCTTTATCACTGTGGAGGGAAAAAATAACAAAGTTGTAATTAAGAAATGATTGGTTTGGCTATGTGAAATAGCAGCAGTCACAACAAAGCTTGCTCTGAACTATAACTGTTCCAATTCCAAGGAAGTCAGACATCTTTGTGTTTTCCGAAGTACTACTTCTACTGCTTAATATGTGGGAATTTTCACTCTCTTAAAAATGAAGTTGTTTCAGGAAGATATCAGTTTTCAAGTTTTTCATATTAATAGCACCAGACTAAGAAAAAGTGACAGAAGTTAACAACAAGAAAATCCATTTTTTCATATAATTCCTACATGCAGTTTTCACACTCATTAGTAATGATCATCTTTAAGGTATATTCAAAACGAAAATGCAAAACCCAGACTGACCTACTGAGCTGTAGGATATCTTTAAGTATATCACCCTTCTTCACAGTTCCAATTTAGCAAAGTTGTTATTTTGCCAAGTAAAATGCTCTAGATCTTGATTCCCACAGTGTCAAATAAATTCTTCGTACAACCCAGAGAGTCGCTGAGTTGCTACGCGAAGCAGATCTTCAGCTTCTTGTTAAAAATGCACTGTAAACGTATCCTTATCTCTACCACTGGCTCACAAGCAGCCGGAAGGAAACAGCACTGACCACGTCATGGCAAATTAGAACAGGCAGAAAAAAAGCCCTGCACAGTACAATAGCGAAGAAAAAAAAATAATATCCCAAACTAGGAATGTAAACAGCTTCACTGAAGGGATGCGTGCCTAGAGCTCCCACGTTCTCATTTACTCATCGGTGCCAAAGGTAAATGTGGTTAACACGAGCTTAACAAGAGTTGTGCCGTATCATTTCCAGGAAAATATACCAGCACAAAATGTAGCCTTTTTATACAACTCAGGTGACCAATACATTAATTAAAAAAAAAATAAAATAGAAAAATCCACTATTTCAGAAGGATAACACAAACAGGTATCTAAAATTATGAACACAAGGGAGTATGTTGGTGCTTAGGAATTTAAAACTATTAGTTTTTAAGGAAGCAAAATGCGTGGTGCCAAGCGTTTTGATCAAAATTCGTTAAGCCACCTTTGATTAAGGGCTGCTGTGACACAGGAATAAGGGGCAGAGGTTTAACATGTTACCCATCCAGACTGACACCGTGAGGAAAGCTTCTGGGTGATTTCAGAGGCACTGGCGAGAATTAACATCTGCCTTTGGACAGGAGGTTTAACTGCGCCTCGTTTTTGCAGTAGGCCAAAAGTCAAAAATACACGAAGGGCATCCTCCTCTCCTCCATGCCAAGCAATTTAATTAGGGAGAATCGTGTCACAGGCTCACACTCCCTGACTCTAGGAAATGTAACAGCTGTTCTTCTCATATAGATTGTGGTATTCCAAAATTCCTAAGTAGTGATGGCAGAACACTCAAGCATTTAAGTCACTAGATCCTACCCTTCTAAGAAATCAGGAAACCCAAGGTTATGCAAACAGAAGAAGCTCCCCAACTTCCAAAGAGAGCTTTAATTAGGAGTTCATAAGAGTAGCCACAGCCCTAACGAGAGAATATTTGTGTTAATGAGAGCTGTACGCATGAATGGAGAAGGGTGTGCTTTGGGAACCACAACTATTCAATTTCAGCCCCTGCCGTTTTGCCGGATGACCTGAAGAATTAACAAGGCTTTCTCCATATTTCAGCAGCACTGCAGCACTGAAAATGTTACATGCAGTCATATAATCCTGGGTTAACTTTCCTAAATGTAATTATTTGGCCTCGCCTTTGAAAAGGTAAGAATGCCGTGAAGAAGTTACACACACATGCTAGCACAGCGGGACTGAGACCAACTTGTCCCTTCTCAGACTTCTACCATCCTGTATGTCAGTTTGAAAATAAAAGTCCACAGCTATGGTGAGGGACTTCTTAGGATGTTGGGTTGTGGTAGGACTAGAGGGAATGGATTGAAGCTGGAGATGGATCGGTTCAGATTGGACGTTAGGAAGAAGTTCTTCCCCATGAGGGTGGTGAGACACTGGCACAGGTTGCCCAGAGAGGGGGTGGAAGCCCCATCCCTGGAAGTTTTTAAGGCCAGGCTGGATGGGGCTCTGGGCAGCCTGATCTAGTGGGGGATGTCCCTGCCCATGGCAGGAGGGTTGGAATTAGATGATCTTTAAGGTCCCTTCCAATCCTGACAATTCTATGATTCTGTGATATAATATACAGCTTAATGTTTCCTACAGACAGTGATTGAAGTGGGTCAGTCTATGTCAACAGGGACATACCAGCTCTTTCCAAAGACAGGACTGGTATGGAAACTCATTTAAATACAACTACTTTGGTTACTGCCTAGAAATAAACTGTAAGTCTCTAATAAGATGAAATAACAGTATTTGAAGTCACTCCCTCTAACCAGTAAAGAGTAACTTCACTTTCAAGGATCACCGGGCAAATATGAGAACCTCCTCAACTTCCAAATGGAGATTTATTTTAAAACGAGGGTTAATTGTCCTGGGAGAACCAGAGCCAGAATAGAGCAAGGGCTTATAGTCATCTCTGTTACGCTAATTGAAGCCACATGTATGAACAAGGAGTACAAGTTCTTAACGTCCAGTAACCTTCTAAGATCAGTAACAATGAACAGCATCAATGGAAAATCAGGATAGATGAAGTGTTGGAGATGGAGGCTACCTAATAAGCTCATGAAGTATATGGAGAACTGGACATATAGCTACTGTAAGATGGATTTTAAAAGTTCCCTGTATGCATTGGGAAGTGGCATATTCTTCCGTTAGTGCCAGGTCATTCATTATTCTGTAAAATATTATTATTTTACAGTAAATACTAAAACACCAAGATGCATACTAAATGCATAAGATCCAAGAGCTGTGGTAGTAAGCTTACTAAAAAAGCCATAAGGAAATATTTTCTTATCTTTTATTTAAAAAAACAAACAAAAAAACCCCCACAACAAACTGCAATAAAGCCCTCAATGCAAAACTAATCACCATGATTTAGTATCATTTAAGAGACTGCAGCAGCATAATGCATTTGATACCAAAGGGATCCACCCAAACCCTACTTAAAACATGCACACTTCATGGTAACATGAAATTCCTAATCATTTGATACTGTTGCAGGTACAGACATTCAAAACCTGGTTTACGAATTTTGCACCACAGTGATGCAGTGATGTGAGACTATAAAGCAGACACCTCCTTTCCCTCCACACCCCCTCCCCAAAACCACCAGGGAATCTATAAATAAAGGCAAACGGTGTCCTCTTCTTACAAGAGAAAAAACATCTAACCACAACGTTATGACAAAAGTCAAAGACAAGTGAGTTTTAGTGAGTTTTTATATCTAACCTTAAAAAGGTTTGGCACTGAAACTATTATTATTTACAGGAAATTTTCCATTACTTCTTTAGCGGTACGCAGTAATAGCAAGTGATCTATTGGGCAATATCAGTGTGGCAAAATAATACAAAAGTACTTTCCTTTAACACTTACCACTTTCTCTGGCTTACAGAAAAAAAGAGCAACTTGTCACAGAAGCCAGCATAATTCTAAACGAGCCATATTTTCCCCCACATCTATTTTTATAAACTGGGCTTTCATTACTCCAAGTACCACAGGATCGTGCTGCCTATAAGCTGACACAAACATGACTATTGTTTTTGCTATAGAATGCTACTTATCTCCCTGCCTGATCTTGTGTACATCTGTGAGTAGAAAATAAGTTATTTGCAAACAGCATAAAATGCGTAAATTGTATTCACATGCACAATAAGCTTACTACATACAAATAGTCCTGGGAGAAAGGGAACCCAGTATATATTACCATAAAATTTACATCAAATTTTCAAACTACAAAGTAAGGTTTTGCTTTCATTTTTGGTAATTGTTGTAGAAATATACCATAAAAATTAATATTAAGACACAGCAATGTAAATAAACTATTTAACTTTGTTTAATCTTCGAAACTGAACATACTAATAAATTATTTTGATCTCTCCGGAAATTCCCCTCTTCTACTGATTTCAACATCTAGAAACAACCTCCTCAATCGAGTCTGTCAAAAAACACGTTCGGCCAACTTAACCCTTAGCACACTGCTACTCTGGTACCCCAGAAGGTGCCCCGTAGGACTCCTTCCAGCTCATCATTGCAATTTTTTCCCCTCACCACTCTTCACCACCCACACCCTGCACTTAAAGCCTAGCCCTACTTAGCCACCTCAGCTAGGCTCGTAAGAAATACCTCCAGAAGCGATGTTTTCAGTCCCACCTGAGAAGCTGCAATATGGTAACCAAGCTTCGACTTGGAAGTTGTAAATCAACAACTTCTCATTCAAATCCTGACAATAAGAGCCAGTAGAACCCAGACTGCCTCAGCATTCAAGCGCTATAGCGCAGAACACTGCAACACCATGGTGGCACCAGGCTGGAGCAGGTGTAGGAGGCATCAAAGAGCCAGGCACAAACCCAAAATTCCAAAATTTTGCTGAAGCTCAGCTACAAATTTGGAAGGCTCAAGTCTTGCTGGTGAGAGCACTCCAACCGAGCTGAAAGATGCGTCCAGGAAGCTATGGGATCCAGTCCTACTGAAGGTTCCTAAAGATGACTGTAATCATCCTGCATTGCCTTTTTTGTGAAATTAGTAAGATAATTCATGCATTCAAAATTAAGAACCAGCTTAGCTGCTTTAAGATTCAAACTGAGATCTGAAGTTACCGAGTTACTGTTGAAACAGGAGCATGGGGACAAAGGACTTGTGGTTAGAATTTCCTAGTGATTTTCTAAAACAGTTGGCAGCATTAGCTCCAGCCTAGAAGCATCAAACTTAAATAATGTCTTAATAAATGACTTAACAGAAATGCTAAGCTGAACCCCCTTCTCCACACCATCTCTGATATGAAAGGAAAAGGGCAGTGAATGACAGAAAAGGGAAGAATAAAGAAGTCATCTGGAAATTTTGGGCCGAAGGACTGAAAATCATCCCAGGTGAGGTCAGGCAAAGACATG